AACTATCGCTTAACTCGACTATAGACGAAGAAATCGTCTTAACATCGATATCGCCTATATCTAATAAACCAAATACTTAGATTTTAGATAGCGGTGCTACAAGTCATATTTACGCGTTTAAAAGTCTATTTATAGACCTAAAACCCTGCGAAAAGACAATACATTAGGGAAATGCAAGCTCTATACCCATAAAATGGATGGGAGTAGTCAAAATCACCTTTAAAGGATTTAAAAGGACTATTAAACTAAACGACGTCCTTTATATTCCAGAAATCGGTTTAAATCTCCTAAGCCTAGGTCAACTAGCCCAAAAAGGAGTAAATATTGACATAAAGGCTAAGCAATGCTATTTAAGCCTAAAATCGACGAATATTGCCACTGGTTCCTACGAGAACAACCTTATACTCTTCGATACTACTATTAAAGAGGAATATACCCTTATATCTAGGGATATAAAAGATTTATGGCACTCTAGAATAGCATACCTAGGAGATAGAGCATTAGGGGCTTTATCTACTAAGATAGAAGGCTGCCAACTAGCTAAAAACGCTAAAAATCACGAAAATTGTGATATATACGTAAAAGCTAAGGCTACAGCTAAAATTAGCTATAAAACAATGCCTAGAGCTATAAACTACCTTGAAAAGGTTTATATAGATATCTGTGGACCTATAGCGCCAGAAGCCTACGATAAAAAGCGCTATTTCATCTCTTTTATCGACGATAAAACTCGATACGCTGAAATATTCCTTATACGGAACCGAGATGAAGCCTTTACTATATTCAATAACTGGCTAAATATATAAGAAAAACAAGGGAATACTCTATTAAAGCGTTTATACTCAGACAACGCTAAAGAGTATAAATCAGGCGAATTTTAAGAGCTTTTTAATACTAAAGGTATTCTAAGTACCTATACGGCACCTTATACCCCAGAACAAAACGGTATAGCTAAACGATTTAATAGGACTCTAGTATCTAAGATACGAGCCCTTTTATATATAGCTACTTTACCTAACTATTACTAGGGGGAAGTAGCGCTAGCGGCGACCTATATCTATAATAGGACACCCTATATAGCGCTAGAAAATTTTATAACTCCCTATAAAGCTAAAACCGGTATAAAACCGGATATATCTTATATTAAAATATAGGGTTCTATTGCCTACAAAAAAGAGCCAAAAGAACTACTTAAAAAACTCGATTCTAGGGCTATAAAGCACCTATTAGTCGGTTATAATAAAGAGGCAAACTAATACAAATTAATTATATACGGTAAAAGAAACCCTATATGGGTAAGAGATGTCTATATATTCGAAGGAGTATTCTTGAAAGACGAAAAAGGCCTATAAAGTGAACTCACTATAGGCCAACTAGCCGATAAATCTATACTTAGCGAGGACGAAAAGGAATCACTACCTATTTAGGAGTCTAATCTAGGTTAACTAGTTAACACCCCTACTTTACTAGAAGACCCTAAGATATTAGGCCAACTAGCCTAGGATTAAGATACCGTATAGTATAACGAATTTTACCGGTAACTCTAGGAAAGCGTAAAGGAAGACGGCCTAGCACTATTTAGTACTATAGAGCCCCTATATCCTAAAGTCCTAGAGACTAAAGAGGCTCTAAAATAG